TCTCTCAGTCTCAAGGTAGTATTTGTGCATCATGATCTTTAAAGTTTGATGCCAGATGTTTGTTTGAGGCTAGAGATTTTATTTTCGAAATACCTAAAGATTGCAGATCCACACAATCAACAATTACATACTCTAAAGACTCATCAACTGCAGAATGATAGGAACAGGTTGCACAAAGTGGTCACACTTACCAGCAATTTGACAAGTGCTACAGGTTTAGCTACATCAGTTTTAAGACCCAGCCAGGAAAAATGTTCCCAGCACTCCGCCAATGATGGAGGATGCGGTCATGTTTTTTTAACTTCTAAATGATCAGACTGTGAATGTTCATGGGTTAGCTGCAACACACCTTGGCTGTACCCCTTGGGAACTACCATCTGCCATACCACACCCTAGTCCTCATCTTGATTTTCCTGCTTTAACTTAGGCCCATTTGTGCATAAACAGTTCATCTTTCAAGAAGATGCCTTTTTTCTCACTTGTTGTTTCTGTTCCTTTTATAAAATATTTAGCAAGTGTAGCATCAGCTTTCTTGGCTTTCCTCGGGGATCCATTGACATAAGTAATTAATGGAAGACTTACAGATGTAGCATTAACTGTGTTCTGATCACAGGCTGTGGACTCTGAAGGGCTGCCTGGGGATAATTTATCCTCTGTCAGGTAAAGAGAGAAGCCCTTAACTTTTCTCTGACAGTGTTAGTGTCAGTGTGTCACTGTGTGTTTATAATTTTAGAGATAACTTAGATAACTGCTTAGATAACTTAGATAACTGCTTGAAGAAAGCGTGAATAAATTAGTGCACTAATTGTGGTCTACCAAGTGATGCACAGCACTTCAGAAATATCTAGACACCAAATAAATACATTTGCTCTAAGTTTTTTTTTCACTTTTTTTCCAAGTGACCATGATAACATGAGAAACTTAAGTTAGCTTGAGAACAGGAACATTACAGTGAAAAAGCATGCTTAGAAAAGTGTGAATAGCACAGTGTGGCTGCACATATTTTATCACCTTGTACAATATGTGTACTTCCTTTGCATTGCTGTGAACCAGGGGTGTCAAACTCAAATACACAGTGGGCCAAAGTTCAAAACTGGAACAAAGTCGCGGGCTAACGTTAATATTTATTGAAATATATTTATTCCTCCAGATATAAGAATGAATCTTTTCTTATGGACTCAAACACATTTTGCTAAATACTGAATATGGAACAAGCAAAGCTTAATACTAAACAATATATATATATTAGCTGTATAATACCAGTAGACCAGCTCTTATAGTAATTTGGTATTGCTTCGCGGGCCAAATGTAATTAGGCTGCGGGCCAAATTTGGCCGGCGGGCCAGAGTTTGACACCTATGCTGTGAACATTATGACAAGCATCTTCAGTAACAAAACATCGTGAAACTCGAGTCTTTAACTAAACAGAATGACATTGTGATCCGACACTGATTGTAATACATCTCAGTGCATCTGACCACTGTGAAGCCATCATATACAAACGGGTCAGTACAAGACGTCAACCTAAGAGAGCTGACAAAATGTTAACCCTTTAAAAACTGAGCCATGAGATAAGTGCCAGAAAATTCTAAATGTTTGAAAG